TTTTTTAAAAAAGTACTGATTAAGCCTTTTTTCAATTGATTTCCTGGACATTTATGAATATAAATCAAGTTCAAATAAAATAGTAAAAAAAATGTATTTTATTTAAATTATTTTATTTAATTTTGCTTAAAATTACCAAAAAAAAAATCCTTTATTTTTCATCTTATTCAGTCTCTGTTAGCTTGAGTGGTAAAAAGTAAAATAAAAATATTTTCTTTAAACTTTCAAACTAAAATTCTGTTTAAGTGAATGTTGTTGAATGAGTAAGTGATGATTGGTCACTGAGTCTGTCGTAGCAGTCGAGTATTTCTTAACTACGTGGTTAACACATTTTTGTATTTTTGTTTTTACTTGTGTACAAATCGTAAGGACTTTTCTTTTTTTTTTAGCAGCTTTCCAACTCCAGTTTGACTTTCTTTCCACTTTTATTAGAACGTCGTAGCTGTTATAAGCTGTAAAGTTGTTTTTATGCCATTGTTGAAGCAGTTTCTGCTCTAGGTCAGTTTGACATCTTGAATATAGACTTTAAATGCAGACTGTAGACTCTGTGTACTCACTTTGCTGAAATTGTGTTTTCCTTTTCACAAAAAAAAGTAAAGTTTCTCCATCGAGCACATTTAGCGTCAGTGGGTTGGACGTGTTGGCTGTAAAAGCCTGACAAACTCAGGAGCTGCTACCAAGATGAAGAAGAATTGTCAGCTAATTAATTCAAGTCCAAAAAAAAGTGTGGGATTTTTTTTTTTTTTTTTAGTACATAAAAATGTCTACTACTTCTGTTTTAATTCCTGTATTTAAATAAGGAAGAAAATCAGGGGTGAGTGTTAAATGTTTTTTTTGTTTTGTTATTTTTTGAATAATTTTTTCTTTTTTTTTTTTGTTTTTGTTATTTTCTTATTTTTTTATTTTTTCAAATAATTATTTCAAATTATTCAAAGTGTAATTTATTCATCACTACAACAGCGCCCTCCAGCTTCAGAGCATTTGTATGTAATTTTCTGTCTGTCTGTTCAGCACCTTTGACCACAGACAGCGACGCTCCTTTCATCATTAACCTTTACCTCACTTCCAAATTACTCTATAATGGAATAATGTAATCTTTGGCTCTGCTTAGAGGAGACATTATGCACTGCATTAGTTCATCTGCTTCTACAGGATAAAAAAAAGTCATTTCACAAAAAGATAAGACCCTACAGAAAATTTCATTTTCCTCCGTATAGCAACTTGAACTTAAAAAAAAAAACCTTTGCTCCTCTATCTGGGCGTTAGGAGACTATTTCTCTTTCATATTACACATAATAGAATTATACATAATTGTTTTTCTCATGTTTTTTTTTTCTTCATTTCTGGGTTTCTGAGTCTTTGTAATACGTCTTTTTTTGAATCACAATGACATTATCGCAGTATCTCCTGTGATCTATAATAATAAAGATGATTAATTTGTCAACCTCTTCATATTCGCAAGGAAGTGAGTGGGAGACTCCTCTCTGCGGCGTCTACGGTGTAAGATCACATCAACGCCACTTCTCTCATCCCTGCAGCCATAATGATATTCTCAGATCTGCCTCAAAGTGACTCATCAGCCCATGGGGCCCACCAACACTCCTCATCCTACAAAGCAGCGCTGCCTGTGCCAAAGTCTCTTCTGGGGATGGAGAGTTCTTCTGACCTACAGAGCGTCACTGTTGTTTTACTCCAAGGTTGTTTTCTTCAGAGGATGGGAAGGTCATCCGCTCTGCCGGCTGTAGGTGCACAACAAAGCCCGTGCTCATAGTGAACACCGCTTTAAGTGATCCCGTGGGAAACTCCAGTGTATACATCATATTAGAGGTGTGGTAAGTGCTGGCTAAAAGCAGAGTGGGCTGAAGACAGATATTTGCTCCTGAAATAACAGGAATATGGTTTAGTGAGATGCACTGAAATGGCCGTCTCATCATCTTCTATTTAAAGGAGAAGTGTGCAACAATTCTTACTGACTGGGCTGTGGCTGCGGAGGCATTTGTTATACTCTGGTTTTTGGGTCAAGTGCGCAGATACAGCAGTATTGGGGTATTTAAAGCCAATCGTTTAGCTGAGTGTTTTTTATTTTTACGTTCTATGTTTAGCCTTTGAATCCAGTGCTGGGCACTGTGAGTGGATCAGACAATTCTTACCCATAGATTACTGTAGTTTTCAATGTCAAATGTATACTTTTAACAACAGAAAAAAATAATACAAGAGTACAAATGAATTTTCAACACCTTATTTAGAAGCCTTACATTTTATGGGAGACCAAAATAGTTTCTAAACATTCTGTCACTACCAGGTCTGTATTATTTATCCTGCCCATGTCCAATAGTGCTGTTACTTTTCATTTCTGGCATGTGCCGCCTAACGTGCATGGAAATAAGATGTAGGAATTTGAAGTTAAATTACAGGGGTTAGCCTGCTAGCCTTAGGACGACATTAAGACGATCACAGATCTGCTGTTTCAATCACGGTCTCTTTGTCTCCGTGCTATGTTGTCGGGTTAACTCCGTTTCATCCCATAGTCCCCGAAACATTCAGGCTTGGGTTAATGGTTCACTCTGGATCGACCACATATATGAGTGTGGGTATGAATGGTCGTTTGTCTCTATATGTGGCCCGGTGATCTGTTTCAAGGCGTTAACCCGCACGCCCTCGTCCCTGCCCCCCACCCTTACCCCACTCGAGGACTGCTGGGATTGGCTCCAGCCCTCCAGCACCCCTGAAATGGATTAAGCGGTAGAAGATGAATGAAATCAAGTGGAAAAACGTAATTACTTCACTAAAACTACACTAATACATCCTAATTACAGTAATACGATTATAATTACTTCAATTGAATCTTTTTAATGTAAAGTAATAAAAAAAAAATTCAATTCATTTTAAATTATAATGGTGAATTTAGCCAATGTTACTCTACAGCCTTCAGTCACACAGTATGGGACAAAACACCTCGATTCTGTTGAAGAGTGAAAACGCTTGTGTTTCGTGGTTACGTTTCCATCTGCCATAAATGTATCAAGAAAGTCTTGTTCCATGTTTCCGACATGTGCCTTAAAATCTCACCAGTTTGCACAGGAACTAGTTGTCACATGTCACAATGCGTGGAAGACCGCTCTGTTTACATTCGCTGTTTGTACGTTGGATCGTTCTGTATTTGCATTCTCTTGTTTGTCTTGTCTTTGCCCTTCATCTTGGCACATTCTCATCACCTGGGTCTAGTTTAACGTTTGTTGAATCCCCAAAATCATCCTGGTCAGTTGTAAGAAAAGTAAGAAAAGAAATAGCAGTTTTTTCTGTTTAAAGGAAATCCCTGCATACTTTAACCACCAAGTACCAACATGAGCTGTGATAAATACACTCTATTAAAAATATTATGTCTTGTTTGTTTATGACTGTGTTGTAAAATACTAATCCCTGTAGTTTTACAGGCTTTTAGATGGTGGTATTTTTACCCGGCTCACCACACTGAGAGACTGAAGCAGCCATTAGAGCATATGTTGTTTTAATCTAAAGTAAACATGGCCCACGTGTTTAATATTATTGATTAGGTATTAGCAGTGCATTGCAGAAATCAATAAATTCAGTAATTAAACTCAACTTCACTTCCCGGGTCTTAACGCACACGCCCAGTGACGTGCGTGGCAGCAGAAATGTGCTGGTATCCTGCAGTATGGTGCAGTGAACAGCAGCTTCCCAGACTGGGGTCTGATGGTTCATTGACCCATGCTTTCACCTCCATCACCTCCATCTGTGAGCTGTATGGAGGCACTTCAAAGTCACACCACCTCCACCACTGTGCACATGAGAGTTGCACTTCCGCTGACATTTAAAGAAGAAGGAAAGCATTTGTCAATACTTGGTTGTGAGAGTAGATTTGGAATGTTTCATTCTGGGGTCATTGGGACAACGGCGCCAAACGGAATGTAGCGTCTGCAGCTCTGGAAATGACATTAGTGCACGTAAAGAGTGCACGTGAAGAGCCGGGGTAAAAATGTGTGTCTCGCTATAATTATAAATAAACTCGCTCCTTCCCTTTTTCCACACCCGAAATAAAAGTCTTTATTTTCTGTTGTATATATAAAGACCAACAAACCCAACAACCTCTGTTTAATAGATTTATTTTTACAAATGTGAGCTTAAAGTTACAATGTAAATGTTTTACTTTTAAGGCAACGTGGCAGGTTTTCATCCGAACAGAAAGTCATCGTTTGTCCTCTTCTTTTTTTTTTTTTTGTTTCCACTCCATTTGTCCTTTAATGTTCTGGACAAAAAGGTTGGTTTGTACCAGGCAAAAGACAAGATAAGGGACGGAAACTGCTGTCTCAGTATTTATCTGTCTGTCTGTCTGTCTGTCCAGATAAGACATGGGCAAAATACGGCCCGTGGGCCAGATAGGGCCCATTGGGCTTTCTAATCCAGTTCACCAAACACTGGTACAAGGTTTCGTAAAGACTGATGTCAAACCTTCTGTTTCATACATTGCAACAAATTCACTGTAATTTCCTTTGATGCCACTACATGGCGACAGACAAATGATCTTCGAAAACTTAGGTTTATTAGTGAACATTTTATTCAAAATATTTCGCCCAGCATTCTACATCCAACCAATGCTAAACCAATACCGGACCGCCAGATCAATTTTGAGCCTCATTTTTGGCCCGTGAGCCACACTGTTCGCCAACCTCTGGTCTGAACGTTCAGCCGTCTGTTGATTCTTTCTTTGCCTCATTGACATTAACTGGTTCTCTCATGTTCCTACATCTGGACCATGTTATACTGTAAATATTCAGCGCACCGACTGACTTTCCCTTTAGAAAATAATTTATGCTGATTTTAGAATCTTTCTTTTATGACGGCTCATTCAGAAGTTTCCAGTTTATTGGTCTTAAAGGTCACTTTAGCTTTAAGCCTCTGCAGGTCAGGACTTATTTAATGACACAGCTGATGCTGGCGATAATTTATGTTCTGATCTGTTTTATTCATCACATTCACAGAATAACTGACTCGGAGAAGCTGAAGAGGAGACTCGACTTGTCAGACTGCCACTCTTCTACATGCAAGGATACCTTTGTAAGTATTTGTCCGTGTATCTGCGTACTGTACAGTGAATACTGAAGTGTCCCAGGATCGGTCCAGGATATATGTGTCACACCACTCTGGGCTCGATTTGGCACATTTTAAATCTGTTCTCTTTAATTAAAATTGGGCCAAATGCTCATGCGGGCAATGCAGCATCCTGAGGTTATACACTGAGAGAAAATGAGGGAGACGGGGGACAAGTGGGAGTCAGAGCCACTGCACAGGATGAAACCACTGATGTCCAAGAGTGCAGCAGGAAAATGGCCCCCAAAGATAACTGCTAAGTGAATACCTCAGATAAGAGAAACCCATTTATGATACAGAGCAGGAATATCTTGGAGGAAGAAGCTCTTACACCACATATACGAGCCGCTGATTGGAGAAGTGTTTGAGGAAATCTTAGCAATTGCTGGAACAGGCTGAACTGAGAGACAGCTCTGAGGCACTCATCATGGCTGCACAGGAAATGGTACAGAGTATGAGATCGATAGAGGCCTGAGGCTACCTTACATTCATACCAGAAAGGACCCCAGGTACAGGCTGTGCAAAAAAAAAAAAAATCAAGCAGGAACTACGTACATACTGTACATGCCAGGCCATGGATGGAAACGGTGTTTAAGAAAAATCTGTCAATGTGACCTAGAAATCCAAAGTCACGCTGAAAGAAGTCACTGAGAAGCTGCTGAGCAAAAATCCCATGGGACTTTCAACTCAAGACTGAAAAATGATGATCACCAGCCAACCAACCTGGCATAGTGTTGATCAACAAACAAAAAAGAAAGGCAGCAGAGGAAACCACAGTAATCCCAAGTGACAGTGACATCAGGGAGGAGGAACATGGAAGCTAGAAACATGCCCAAGGCTGAGAGAGGAGCTGGAGAAGAGTGGGGAGCTGAAGCAGCAGTGGTTCTCTGCACATCGGCTGCTGCGGCTCAGGAACAACATCTGAGATCTGGGTCCAAAATAGCACACTCCCTGATAGAACTTAGAGACTGCGCAGAACCTTCACAGTCTCATTCCCCTTTGGACCTCAATAGGAAATCACAATCCTATCCATCCATCCATCCATCCATCCATCATCCATCTATCTACAGTATCTATCTGTCTATCTATTGATCGATCTACAGTATCTATCTATCCATCCATCCATCCATCTATCTATCTATCTACAGTATCTATCTATCTATTGATCAATCTACAGTATCCATCTATCCATCCATCTATCTATCTATCAACAGTATCAATCTATCTTTCGATCTATCTATTTACAGTATCTATCTAACTATTTATCTACAGTATTTATCGATCTATTTACAGTATCCATCTATCGATCAATCAACTGATCTACAATTACAGTATCCATCTATCGATCAATCAATTGATCTACAATATCTATCTATCTATTGATTGATCTACACTATCTATCTATCTTTCCATCCATCCATCCATAGCAAATATACAACTCCTGTGACTATTTATAGTTTATTTACAGAAGTTTCAGGAAGTTTGGGAAAACCTCAGTTGGGGCAGAAATCACTGCTGAAAGTACGGGATCTTCAAGCTCTTAATTGTTGATATTCCGGTGCCACTCTGATGGACACGGCCACGTGTTTGGAACTCTTGAAATAAATCATTGTCCCTTAACATCGTCCCCTGGTGCATCAAAAATATTCTCTGAGACAGTTTCATGTGAAGAAGAAGCCAATAATTAATTTTGTGCAGAAAGCTGTCAAGTTGTCTGGGCCAGAGCCCATCAGAAGTGACAGAGAAGCAATGAAAACATGTTCTGTGGTGAAATGTGTCCACTTTTCTGCCCGTCTTTGGGGAAAACAGACGTCAGATTCTATGTGCCAGAGTAGTAAAGACCATTTAGCCAGCATCTGTGATGGTATGGGCTGCAACAGTAGCCGGGGCATGGGAGGTCTGCAGTCACTCAAAGGTACCGCTGATGTGAGAGCTTATTTTGGAATTTCCCACATTACACTCCCTGTCGAGATGACGCTTTGTTTTAATGAACTCTCTGGATATTTTGGTGGGAAGAAAACTAGGCCGCATCCCGCACAAACGTGACTTCACAGCTAAGATTGGGAAGTTTTACAAAAACAAAAACGACCCTTTCAGCAGAGATTACCCTCAGATTCACAAAGATCAAAATTGTGTTTAAAATAAAAAGACATGTGACCCAGTATTACGTTTCCTCTGTCCTAGATTTTGGAGAAGGACTGTTACTTCAATGTGTGTGAATTATGTGTATTACTGTACTAATGTGTATTTTTAGAAATTGATCAGGAAATGTGTTTTTATCGTCTTTTGGCCCAATTTTTGAAGTTGTCACAAAAATATGGATTTAGGTTCTGTTTGGGTTTTATCTATCTTTTACTTATTTATTTTTCTTGTACGCAGTTCCGACATGACCTCCAGGGTTTTAACAAGTAAAGAAATCCTCACGTAAAAACCACCCATCAATAGATTTTCTAACAGAAAAACAATGATCCCACACATCCCACAAACTTTTAATTGATTCCCAAGAAACTAGGAGAAAAAAAAAATCTGTGCCAAAATCATTTTGTGTGAAAGATGAAAATGCCCCAGTAAGGGTGAAAATATTATGCTCACTTTAATTTATGAAGCTTCAGGCCTCAGGCCAATGTGTATAATATTTCCTATATGATTTAGTGGCACAAAAAATCTAAGCATATTTCACCAAAGTTGCAATATTAATGTGGTGTGTTTGCATTTCTTTTCAATAAAAGTGGGCTAGTCCTGTGCTCTGGCAGCGCTGCCGTGGTATAATAAAATGTTATTTGCATAAACTCCGCAAATTACGTCCTTTAAAGAAAATGTAATTATGAGACTATTTCAAGGGAAGATGTTGCGGGAAAACAAGTAAAAATCAGCTCACAATGACACACGTTTAAGAATAAATGTAATAAAATAATCTTGAATTAAAAAAAAAAAAACCTGGGGCTTAAATGCAGAAATTGCAGTCTTAGTTCTGTAGTGTTTGTACATGAATGCAGATGTGTTTTGGGGTTTGCTGAGTTTACTCGGATGGTAATTTATGCAATCAGCTCACTTCATTCACTGATTATTCTTCAGTTGTGTCTTAAACAGCCCAGCGCTGGTCAATAAACGGTTGATTCACCAGCCGTCGCTGAAGTAACACACTCCAAACACCTGATGCTGGAGCTTTTCTCTCAAACAAAGAAATGTTTGAGCTGAGAAGGTACAAACTGTCACCACCAAAAAATAAAAAATAAACCAAATCAACCAATGGTGAGACATGTTTGCACGTGAGGCGACCAGAAGTGGCTAATTAAATCTTAGCTGGTTTTTACCTTCTAGTTTGATTGGCGTAGTTGTAGTGGTTTTGTAGGGAGGTCAGAGAAGAGAACAGGAGCTGCCTGTGGTTATGGACTGTCCCTACAGTCTGTCCGACTGTACACCTTTCCTGTCTACCTGAGGTCCTGTCTAATAAATGCACATGAACATAGATACACCTGCTATTTTCTAGGCCACGTCCTAGACTTTAGAATCATTGAATAGACTGAGAGGGACACAACGGTACACAGTGTAAAGGTCACAAATTCTGACAAAAAAAAAAAAATGTATATACAGCTAGCTACTATTTCTAGCTAACTGGATATGTAGCTAACTAGTAGGGTAGTTGGCTATACCAGAAAGTGAATAACAGTAGGGTAGTTGGCTATACCAGAAAGTAACTTTGGATCTGTGACCTAAAATAAAATGTACATGAGAGGCTTGGGAAATATTCCCAAGTGTGGCCCTGGCCACCACTACTCACCAGATGGGGGCGCCACTGGACGCCACTGTTGAATTTGCGTTTTAAATATATTTCATAATAGGCTTTGACATCATCCAGGTCTGTAGTAATGATGGACTACATAACGTGGAGCTCTAAGTGGATGAGCTGATTTGTTTGTGTAAATTACAACTCAATAAAGACTCATAAAGCTGTGATGTTAAACACTGTGTAAAAGATTCAGGCAGGAGTCTCTTAAAAGGAAGAGGTTTAAACCTGAATCGCTGTAGTCAATGACCATAATTCAGAGTGGGTTATTATATAAGAGGGAGTTTTTCCCACATCATTTAAATGCATCTCCAGCTGTCGTTCCATCGATTGGATCTCACCTTCCTACGCTGAGTTACAGAGACCGCACTGCGAGGGGGTTTTTATCTTTAACTGGTGACTGCAGAGCGTTTCAGAAACCTAAAGATTAGCCAATTGTGATCTCACACACACGGCCTAATCTGCGATGTGGTCTGATTGATCGGAGCTCGACGTCGTTGTCGGTGTGTTTCCACTCCACTCACACCTGCATCTGCATGTACTTGGTAACAGGTCAACAGAGATGTTAATGCCATGGACGGGCCACAGCTGTTCATCCACATGGACGGAGCTTCAAAAGGAGCTTCAAAGCTACGGTGTTTTGAGTTTGATACGGTCGGTGATCTCCTCAGTCACTGGGCAGGAGAACGGTCCAAGGTTCTGCCCTGGAGGAAGACGATTCAGGGGCCATTTGGGCTCACGTTGTATCTTGGGGTTTACGTCAAATTCTTCCCAATCGGTGACTTATCTCTGCTTTTGACAAATTTCTGCGTTACTTATTGTAAAACTAACATTGAGCCTGTTCTTCTGTCACACAGTTCTCAAGACAAGTTGAATTTCTTCTTGCCAAAACACATTCAAGGAGGGAGCAGCAGTACCAGCAGCTCACGGCCAAAGAAAAAGTAAGTTGTTTAAAAAAAAAAAATCTCCAAAACTTAAAAAGCTGTTCAGTTTTTAAAAAATGAAACAGTAGAATTATTTGACTGAACAACATTGTAGTTAGTATAGCAGGGCATCAACCAATACTCTACCTTTAACCTCTGAAGTCTAGACCAACTAAATCTAGACTCAAATCTTGAACTACATTTTGTGTTATTTATATGGACGACCTCTAGGGATTATAGATTTAATTTAGAATGACTTATTCCCAGGTGACCTTGTACGACCAAACCCTGCTGGTCTTCATGTTTGACTTTTACGCGTTATCTCTGTGTGTACATTGGTTTGTGCTGCAAAAACATGCACGCCTTGTACGACCAAACCCTGCTGGTCTTAATGTTTGACTTTTATGCGTTATCTCTGTGCACGGTTTGTTTGACTTTTACGCGTTATCTCTATGCACAGTTTGGTTAATTGTTCACACAAATTGAGCCTAAGGTGTGAATGTGAGTGTGAATGGTTGTTTGTGAAACTGTGTATCTCACCCTCACCTGGCGACAGCCATGACATAAAAGTTGAAAGTGTAGGTTTTTTTTTTTTTTGCTGATTTAATTTTAATCCTTCTTTATGTTTTTCATAATTAATTTTTTTTTTTTTTTTTTTTACATTTAATCTTCTGTACTGGTGCGTTTTATCTGGTGCCATCGTTCCATTCCATTTTCCTTGAAAGTCGTGATCTTGTCAGGGGAAGAAAAAAAAAATTAATCAGATAAAAGTTGTTTGTTGTCTGATTTCAGTGGCAACAATCAAAAAAGCACAATGGCTGCCTCCAAGAATGACATTTTCACACTTGTTCCCATTGATTCATTGGCAACACTGAGACAAAAAGACACAAAGGCGACAGGATCGCTGTGAAAACACTAAAAACCACAGCTCTGCTGCCTTCCTCCGGGCTGCGACTGGAAACTGACTCAGAAAAGTACAAATGGAAAACACCTTTCGTCTCTCTGCTGCCTCGCACTTCCTCTGTTCTCGTTCCCTTTACCTTCTGTCACAATGGAAGTATCTATGAGTACAGTATATATATATTTTCTGACACGCTGGTTTTTGTCTTTTTGATGTTTTATTCATTAAACGCTGTGTTTGTTTTGCCAGCGTATATGCATTAAATTCTTCTTCTTTTTTTTCCATTTCTGCATTGGAACAGCATGGAATAATTATTTATTTATTTTATCCACCAGCCCAAAAAATGTTTGAGAGGAAAAATAGGCAGTGAAACTGATGAGTCACCAGTGCTGATATCTGTGCTGTTTTTCACCAACACAACATTTCCTGCACTTTTTCTAAGTAAAAGCACTCTAGCACTTCAGTGTCCTGAATCCACCTCATTCAAAACAAACCTCTATTGTTCACGCCGAGTCCTCCTCGCGTCGAGCTGAAAAGTATTTAGACGTACATTATCGTCTGCTGCGGCAGTCGCAGATGGGTGATGCGGCAGAATGGAGTCGTTAACACGTGCGTCTCACGTTTGCTGTCGCAGCCAACGGAGAGTCGGATGCCAGCGTTCAATTTTTTATTTTTTTTTTTCCCTTCACTTGGACCTTGAAGTAACTCTTCAATGGAGCGCTTGTCTTTTTATTCGACCACCAGAGTGTTGTTTGAGATTATTAAAGACGTTCATTAATCCGGCGTCAACGCAGGCTGATTAGTGTACACTCACATCTGTGGTCACTGTCCCTAGGTGGCCTCTGTCAGTTGCAACTGTCACAGGCTGATTTAATTTCCACGGGCTCGTTCACAGGGACTCTGGGAACAGTGTGCACCCAGCTCTCTGCCTTCATTAAACTCCCAGTGCACATTCTCTTCATTTCAACAGACAATCCATCTGCCGTTCTAAAGCGTGTTTTGTCAAGAGTTGTTAGCCGCTTGGCCCCAGGGATGAGAACCGTAGGCTATTATTAATCTTGTTTGTTTCGTGTTTCTCTGTCTCTCTGCAATAGAGGGATTTAGAGCCTGGTAGACTTTCTCTTCTGTAGACATAATCAATTGTGTTTTTTTTTTTTTTTTTTTTACCCTTTTTAGACTTTTGACGGAAGGCTGCCTCCAAGGTCTCCAAGTGTCACCTTGTGAATAATTACTTTTTTTCCGACAGCTGTTTCAGTCTCGTAGCTTTAAGTTTCCACTAAATTAAGATTAAGCATTCAAGAACAAAGGGAGCTGAGAAAGAGACACATTTGAAGATAAACCTCATGCATTATGTGCCCTGAGTGATATAAGTTAAAGTATTTAATTCACGGGTGTTAATTGACGTTTAAAAATATCAAATAAATTACAGGCTACGCTTGTGACGTAACCGCTTTGTGACTTTAATCCCCCGGGGGGAACGGTCCTGCAAATTGAGTTTTTAGCAAATAATTAAACACCTTGGATGTGTGTGATTTGCAGCCAAGCTATATTGACCAGTTGTCAATGGTGGGAAAGTCTGAAAGAGTCGGCTTCCTGATAATGGTGATCTTCTTAGAGCAGGGCCGGTCTGTGGAAGGGCGCTGTCCGGCTCTCATCTGGCTGAAAGCATTCAGGATTTCCCAGCATTCATAGTCAATACATTTACACATTTTGCTTATGTGAGTGAAACCTGATCCCGAATCAATCCTTCTATGGTGAATCTGATGATAACTGCTGACCTGGTCTCTTTCTCCATCACATTACTATTGAATAAATTCACCACTTCTCCGGTGCTGTAAAAAAAAAAAAAAAAAAAACTCGATCCGTGACGGCTTCTCCGGTGCTGTAAAAAAAAAAAAACTCCAAAAGATCCATGACGATATCACCCTGTTTACAGCAACAGCCGCATTCACAACACTGCGTGGTATCGTTGACGACAGACAACAAGGCCACTTGGTCATTAAGGCATTGAAATTACCTGCATTTAAACTACATTCACCGTCACAATGATTCTTTCTTTGCCGCATGTGTATGAGTCAGTGTGTGTGTGTGTGTGTTTTGCTTCTACAGGTAATTTCTTTGACATGTAGAAGCCTTACAGCTGCTCAGATAAACTAAAACGTCTCCAATGATTATTTGCTGTTTACGTTGAAATTCTTTTTTACCCAAGTTCTCACAGATCTTAAGTACAAACAGCAGTTTGAACCTGGGGTCACCAAAATAAAAGCATGTCTAAGAACAACAATGTAAAAAAAAAAAAACGCTTGCTTTTTTTACAACTTTTCCAACATTTCTGTTGATGCGCGTTGTATTGTGTTTCGTTGAACACATTTTTTTGTTGCCCCTGACTTTGTCACTTTTGTAGACTCTCACATCAAAGACCTCGTTGTCGGGGCTGCGGTGAACAGAAATATTTTTTTTCCTACCTTTTGTGTCTGTTCAAAGGTGCAAACTGTGTTAATGTGCGCGGCGTGTGACGAGCCTCGTCTGTGCGGCGTGTACAGTATCACTGGTGTGTGACTTAAGGCCAGGTTTTAATGAGCGTTTATAAATAAGAACAAAATCGCATCTCAAATGAGATGATATTTGCCCCTTGAGGAAAAGAAATTAATTGTTGGTAAGTGTGTGATGGTAAGGATCAAAATCATGAGTGAAGAAAAACACAGAGGTTCTTTTTTTATATATATATATATAAAGACCAGATTACAACTTTAATTAATGGTACATATAAGCAATGTTAATTTTTATCACCTATAAGATAAAATTACTCATTTGCATTTTACTGCCTAGAGCAGGTCTCACCTCGCGGGTCACAAGGTAGAGAAATATACACCAGAGCTCATATGCAGGAACAGCCCTGAAGACTCTAATGGGATTTGTGACCCCTGACCTTTGGAAACCATGCGATCAGACCTGTCATGACTTTATGTCCTGCCATTGAAAATGAATAGAGATGGACATGAATATTTGATGCGTCTTCTGAACAGTTGGTTGGTTGCCCAATAGGTTGCTTGCGTTCCACTCAGTTGCTTGCAGTGTGTGAAGGATTGGTTGGTTGATTGGTTGGTTGGTTGGTTGATTGGTCGATTGATTGGTAACATGTAACATTTGAACATTTGAAAGAGAAAATCATCAGATTAAATCGTCACATCAGATGGTGTTAAGTCCCGCACACACGCCGTCTGCAGTACTGTCAATGACCCCTGAGATGATTGGCGTTCGTAATCTATTAGTATGAAAAAAAAAAAGTGTTTAAATACAGACAAAAATAGTGTTGATTGGTGGATTGATTGGTGACATGTAACATTTGAACATGTGAAAGAGAAAATCATCATTTTCTTTTTCTTTTTCATGAAAAAAAAATTGTGTTTAAACACAGCCAAAAATAAAGGAAAGGGCCCACTGCTGCCACCATCGTTTCATCAGTGGTCTTGCAGCATGTAAGATGTAAAAATATTTTATTTAATCTTTGAATAAATTGATTGATTAAAAAACAAAACGAGAAAAAGAGAAGTACCTTAAGCACAATCCTTGTTGGCTTCTCAACAGGCCGGATGGGAGGGGTTTGTGGACCAGAACTGGCCCCCAAGCCGGGAGTTTGGCTCCACTGTCAGTGTATTGCCTGCTGGGTTAGACATTAGCATTCTCAAACACGCCTTTTGCTCTTAACAAAGTTGGACTGTTTGATACTGTAACCCAACTCTGTGGAAGTTCATCTCATGGTCATGTTCTTTTATATTTTTTTTTTTATCTGTGATTCACTGTACAGTGTAAATCTCATTCGCTCGGCGAATGCTGATTTTTTTCTTCTTCTTCTCTTTGAGGATGTGTTTAAAAGAACACCACTGACGGGGTGTAAAGGGTCACACACCAATCAATAATCCAACACACGGTGGTGAGGCAGCAGTATTACGTAACTGTTTCTAGATATGACAGTGTTTCTTTGTGTATCAGATGTTTGATCTGCACATCATGGAGATGTAACGCAATACTTTCATTTACCAGAAAAAGGACCAAATAAATAAATAAATAAATAAATAAGGCTTTCACTGTTTTCAACACGCATAATATTTTTTATTTGTTAAACAAAGACTTACTTTGAAATGAATCCATGACACTCACTCTGGGACCCGGGGCAGTCTGCAGACCGCTGGGTCAAATTCTCTTTTATTTTTAATGACTTGTTTGTTGATGAAAAATTGAGCAGATGAAAAATCACTGGTGGCATTTGTTGGCAATTTTAAAAAACCAGACCGACCCAGGCAACATTTTTGTACAGAAATTTCTACCGACTCCTACTTAAAATATGTACGATCTTTTATCGCTCAACCCTTTTTGGCTTCGCAGGTAGATAGAGCCAATGGCAGCGTGACGGGGGCAGTGGTCACACCCTGGACGGTTCACCAGTCCATCACAGGGCCACAAGAATAGACCACAACAGCCATTCACACTAATATTCACACCTACGGTCAACATAAAGTCAACACTTCTGTAAATCGACTGTTGAAGAAAAACAAACACTTCATTCATTCTCCAAACAAACTGATGTTACAGATCCAACCAGGTATTTAAACAGGTTTCTGCTGTAAGTGCAGAACACCAACCCTCCACTGGGGGCGCTTCAGGGCGATTATCATTTTAGATGTAAACACATTTAACACCAAGTGTTCGGCCATAACTGAGCCTTTTTCTCGATGCCTGGTCTCATTTTTTAAGCAGTTTCCAAATTTGTTTGTTCAACTAAGATATTTTTCGATGTATGTCTGAAAATCTCTTAGTTTATTGGCTCTCGGTTTTGCCTGACAACTATGGGTTCAAGTGCAGTACCAAAGCACAGGTTGGAGTTTATATTGCCTTTTTAAAAGTGCGCTATATTTCTGGGAACGTAGTTTGTCTACAATAAGTCATGTTCTCTTGGTTATGGGCTGTAGAAGTCTGAAGGCGTCTCTGAGCTTCTCCACCTGTTCACATACTCAGGCTGCAGCTTGGTACAGTGTAAAGGAAGTGTCTGTGTCAGTCTATCACTCAACACGCCTTCGGTGCAGCAGATCTCACCTTCTATTCCAGTAGCAGCGATACCTCACCAGGACGACCGCCCTATTTGTATGTTCTTGTACCGTTGAGTGATGGGGTGTACGGGTGGTGGGTGAGGTGAAAAACCCGACCTGAGGGAAATGTGTCTTGGACAAAAAGTGGATAAAAACGTACAGTACTGTTTCAATCTCATTGTTGATTAATCGTGATTATTTGGTAATAATAATAAATCTGTATATTGATGGACCAGAAACACAAATAACAGCAGGTAGATGTACAGTATTTGTTCCGTATATTAATGCGGAAAATTGTCAAGAAAATTATGCCTAAAGTTTAGTTTCGTGATTTATCGGTCCCTCACAATCCATTTGTCAATTGTGTCAGTCAGCTTGTCAGCCTGCTGCTCTGTGTTCGGTTAGTCTGGTCTGATACGAACCAGGGGTCTGACCTGAAGGTGAAGCATCCACAAACTCATGCTAGGGGTTTGGGATTGTGGCGTCGTTGAGTGTAAGTAACAAAGTGTTTGGACCTTATTCTGCGTATGCGTTAAATTTGATTAATTTACACATTAAATGAATGTGATATTTTCAGTACTTCACTTATACCAGAGAGAAAAATACTCCCTCTAAGTCTGACCTCTAACCTCCAGGCCACATGCCGCCTCTTGTAGTATCTGTAAAAATCAAGCTGTACGTGATACTTAATCACAGTAATGTTACTGATAACACGCGAGCGTTACATGAAGCTTAATCCACATTATCATTTTCACGATGTTTTTCAAGTGATTACAGAGGGAAAGATAAAAGAAATCGAAAACAAGAAAAACTACAACAACAAAAAAAAAGCTGCATAATACATTAAAGTCAAATGTTTAAAGTTTGAAAGCATAAATAAATAATTTAGAAAAGTAATCAAAACTAACTGTGTGTTAAGATTAGGGTTGCTTAGAGTCTGAGGCTGCTTGTTTAAAAGTGTTTTTGAAGAAGAAGATTCATGAGGTTTTGAAGCTGCTCCCTTTGAAACTGCTGGCTCTGAAACATGGTCCTAATTTATCCACATCCTCACATAACCTCCAGCATCTGTCCGCGCTAACATCAACGTCAGTGTCGTCTTCAGTCTGCAGCCACTGGACTGTGAACTGGATCAGACTGAGCCGTCCCTAAGATATGGACCACACCCTGTTCTAGGGTCTTTAAAACAGACCCCAATGAAGTGCAGTACATTCATAGTCTTTGACCTCTAAATATATACATACATATACACACGCATACATGCAGACACACATTTATGTGTGTATA